CCTCTGTATTCCCCTGCACCTACATGCCTGCACTGTGCTTTTTTCTCATCTCCCCACTTGAACTCAAGACCATCCCTGCTTCTTCCCTCCCCATGCAGTGGACACAGGAAACATTTTTGGCTCCCTTCTGTGACAGGCCTGGTCTAGGCCATGGGCCCCAGCATCCTGCAGCCGAGGCCAGTCCCTCTCAAGTGGGGCATGGCAGGAGAAGTGATGTGAGGCAGCCTCTGTCCTCTCACTGCTCATGGTCACTTGCTGCAGAGTTCAAGAGAAAGGCCCTCGAAGGTCAGGGCTGGTCACTGTGACCTGATGTTACCTTAGAATGCCAGAGGTGAATCCCCACGTTCTCAAGTAAACTCCGATGTGTTCCTAGTGTCTACCCTCAGTTCTCGAGTAGTCGACTCCTTGTTCGTACCCTTCCTGAGGATCCTGCTGCTTCTGAGTTGGCCTTTTTCGAGCCTAGAGAATGGTGGAGGATGGGTTTGTGCAAGTCATGGGATGGGATGAGAAAAGCTTCATCCTCCGGCATCCTACATGCATCACAGGCTCAGATTCTGTCTTCTCTCAGCTCCTGACTTTGAGCAAATTCTGACTCCTGAACTTCTCAGTTCCGGCTTATATCTGTGGCCACAGCCTTTTGCTGTGGGCCTGGATCAGCAGCTTGAGTGCTTGCTGGCCTTACAGCAGGTAGTGCCTTAGGAGACCATGGGAAGGACCTGCTCCACACTAAGCCAGGATGTGTGCACACTGACCCCGACTTCCCACCTATGACTGCTGTGCCCCTCCCCAGTCTTCTTCTGGCCCTTCTGGCCTCCTAGCGCTGTGGCTCTCTCCAACTCCCATCAGGCAGGGAGGACATGCCTGTCATAGGACCTTTGATCTTCAGGGATGCTTTAGGAAATCACCTGGCTAGTGCTGGCTCAGCCTGGACCTCTGGTTCCCTGCCCTGAGGGCCATCTAGGGGGTGATGATCCCCTATCCGATAGACACAGTCACCACTCAGAGGAGGGTCATATTCATGCTTTTTCTCATCTGGGCTTCCTGCATCCTGCTAGCAGTGAACACATTGTACTAACCACTGTGGTCCTACCAGAGGAAGGAAGTCCTGCCACCACCTCCTGCTGCTTTGATGGGATACCGATTCACCCTGGCTTTCCTTAGGCACCAGGGTATTTCACAGTCCCCTGTAACATGTCATAAAAGAGCCATAGCACATTTGTCCCTTTCTCCAGGTCTTGTGCCCTCTATGGTAGGTCAGAAGAGGAAACCAGAGGTACCACCTGCTGAAGAATACTAGGTGGCCAAACAGAGGTCCATCTCATCTACTCAAGGCAATCTCTCTCTCTCTTTTTAAGCTCCCCCACCCCCCATAGGGTGCATGTATCCACCAGAGACAGACAGTGAGAGGGAAAGTTAGAAATCACCCCCTGGGAGGGATGGCCACACCACAGTCCCTTCTCCTCCATTCTTCTCTTCTAATTTTGGGCACTCACACATGTGCCCAGTGTGATTTTCAAGCCAGTGGGTACTGGACTCAAACTACATGGTCATCCATGTGGGAGTCCAGCTCTTTAACCTCCATATCACCTACTGGTTCCTGAAGGCAATCTTTTTGTCTTCCTACTTTCCACTTCTCTCTTCCTACCCCCAAATCCTCTCTGGTCCCTTGGTGAGCAGTAGGATGTTATTTCTGCCCTGTTTGACCATCTCTAGCCAGTCTCCCATTCATTTAGAGCTTTCTGTTTGACCTCTCCTTCTGCTCCAGCATTCCGAGAGCGCCTTCTTCACACACATAATCAGCAACCTCAACCACCCATTCAAGCCTATGTAGGCCCTCGCACTGCCTGCAACTCTGTTCATCCTAATAAAATTTTCCATGGTAAGTTTCATCATCCTTTCCTTCCTTGACTTTTCTACTTTGTTCATGTAATACTTCCTGCCTGAAGCCATCATTCCCTTTCAGAGTTTCATTTTGCTTCTCTGGGTCTTTGCCCACACTATAATTAATTGTAGGAGAAACTTTTCTTCTTTTTAAAGGTTATTTATTTTCCATGAGCAAGTGAGAGAAACAGGTAGACATACAAAGAGGGAGACAGACAGCACCCCAACAGGGTCTTGACACAACAATCTACCCCCAGCCTCAGCAACTCTGGGTCATGGGCACATGCATGGCCAGCATATTCAAGGAGGTCTCCAGATGCAACTCTGGAACTTTGTGAGCCTTGGAGATCATTGTTTGCGCTGCTCTGCCACTGTACAGCCCCAAGAAAACTTCCTTCTTCTGATCCACAAAGTTATCTTTTATTAACCCTATCTTCTACTTATGCTAGCAAAGTATAGCCACAATTATCCCCTCAGCTTGGGAGCTTGTCCCATTCTTTCACTTCGGTCCCACAACATTGTTTCAGCAGTTCTGTCTTTGCTCTCCTGAATCATTAATTCCTCTCAACTGGATCTTTCATCAACATACATGTTAGGTTTTCAATCTTTTCTTTCTTTCTTTCTTTCTTTCTTTCTTTCTTTCTTTCTTTCTTTCTTTCTTTCTTTCTTTCTTTCTTTCTCTTTCTTTTTTAATGTTTTCGCTCACCAGAGAAGATGAGACAATGAGAGAGAAAGTAAGAAATCACCCCCTGGGGAGATGGCCATGTCACAGTCCCTTCTTCTCCATTCTCCTCCTCAGATTTCGGGCATGCACGCACATGCACCTTGGCATGCTACCAGGTCTGGGACTCAAACCGCATCGGTCATATAGAAGTCCAGCACCTTAGCCACTATGCCACCTGTTAGCCCCTCCAATCTTTTTTTTTTTTCTTTAAAAACCTTCTTGGTGGTATTTTCTCATGATTCTGCACATTTTTCTGAGCAATAGTCCTTGAAGGAGTTTATTACACTTGTTATCACCAGTTGATTTGTTTTTATTCTAATGCTTGAGGGTGTGTGCATGCACTAGAAGGAGAGAAAGAGGGAGACAGAGAAAGCACTCCCCAATAGGGCCTGATGATGCTACAAGTCTTCTTCCTCCTTTTCTCCATCCTTTTTTTTTTTTTTTAAGAGGTTTTTACTATAGGGGGCATATGCTTGCCAGACAGACAGAGGGAGGACAGAGAGACAGAAAGCGAGAAATCACCCTCCAGGGGGTATGGCCACTCCGCAATCCCTTCGCCTCCCTTCTCCTCTCGGGATCTTGGGCACACACGCACATGCGTCCAGTGTGAGTTTTAAGCCACCAGGTCTGGGACATGAACCACGGTCGACTACATGGGAGTCCAGCGACATAGCCATTATGCTAACTGCTGGTCCCCTTTTTTCCATCCTATCAGGAACTTTGGCTTGTGCACACACAAGTCTGGCTTGTTTTTCAAGCCAACATGGATTTGAATGACGGCCATGTGTGATCCAAGTTCCTCTATATAGCATTTAACCACTGTGCTGGGAGCCTGCCCTCCATTTGCTCTTGAATCCACTCCTAGCATGCTATCACTTACATCATTCACTCAAGGGCGTTCTTCTTCTTGGTTTTTTTTTTTGGAAGATTTTTGCTATAGGACATGTGGACTTGCCAGAGAGACAGAGAAACAGAAAGCAAGAAATCATGCCCCCCCACTCCGAGGTGGGGGGGATGGCCGTATTGCAATCCCTTCTCCTCCATTCTCCTCTCAGGATTTTGGGCACACACGCACATGCCCCCGACATGAGTTTCAAGCCTCCAGATCTGGACTTGAATCAACCATGTGAGAAGTCCAGCCACATAACCGCTCTGTCATCTGCTGGTCCCTTAAGGGTGTTCTTAAGATTATGAATGCTCTCTACATTGCTAAATGTGATGATCCTCATTTTAGCTGGCCTATTGGCAACTCTTCATGTAATCGATCACTTTCTCCTTAAAACTTCTCTCTTGGGGCTGGCAGATGGCATGTTGGTTAAGGGCACTGGACTCCCACATGGCAGATTGTGGTTCAAATCCTGGACCTGGCAACTTGCTTTCTCTCTCTCTCTCTCTTTCTCATTCTCACTCTGTCCCTCTCTGGTCAAATTAGAATAAATAAAAACAAGCAAACAAATAAATAAAGTTAAGTAAAAAATAATTCTTTAAAAAAAATTAAAACTTCTCTCTTGGCTTCCAGTATACAAGACTCTTCTGGTTTTCCTCCTACCTCACTGGTTACTGTTTCTCAGTTTTCTTTGCTTACTGGTTTCTTCCAAGATGCATTTTTCAGATCTCTTCATTTATACTCATTTCCTTGGTTATCTTACCTGTCTCATGGTTATATATATATATATAACCTGTCTCTATCTATATCTATCTATCTATCATCTACCTATATCTGTCTATATCTATCTATATCTATCTATCTATCTATATCTGTCTATATCTATCTATCTATCTATCTATCTATCTATCTATCTATCTGTCTATCTAATCTACAGCCAGGCCTCTTCCTGAGGACCATCATGCTTCCGTGTTGACAATAGGCTGTTGGGGGTATAATCGCAAGATTAAACAGGAAGATTCATTATGATGGTACTGTAGTTATGGTAGTATATTTGAAAGAAGATATGAGGGGACTTCAAAAAGTTTCTGCGGGTGTCTCCTTGACAACCCCACATTGCACAGAACTCATCACACTGATGATTTGCTTCGTCTTCCTCCCTAGTCCGAGACTTTGGTTTCAGCTAATACTAAGGTATTACAATGTGCTAGCCACTGTCATTGGCACTGGGAATACAAAACATTAGAACATAGTTTGGTGGGGTAGATGGTGAATGTTTGAAATTCAAATCTGATCTTTACCATCCATGCACCTTAGACAGGGGTTCCTTTATTCCTAGTCCACAGTGGGACTAGAAGGAGTCATGTGGAATGATGACTCCTCTGAATTGTGAGTTAAAGCTTCTCCCTAGATAGGAAGAACTTTTTAGCCTCCCTCATACCTTCCCTTAATACAGAGGAGACAAGAAGCAGAGAACTCTTAGAGATATTGAGTAATGTATTTTGGGTGGCACTCCGCCCCACCTGCACATTAATGGAAATGACAATAGCAGTCCTCTTCTAGATATGCAGGGATTGGGGAGCATATAGACTCCTTCATTGCTCTGGACATTCTATTTGAGAACAGTGTTTCTGAGGTGAGGGTTAGGAGCTAGGTTTCTAGGTGAGGGCTAGTTCCGTTTGGGTGGCATAAGCTATACGAGGACAGTGGCAAGGGCAGTGGTGGGGGTGGTCTGGGACTGAGGAGGAACCCTGATGTCTGGAGCGTAATCGGAGTTTATTGTCTGGGAAATGAGGACAATCCAAGAAGGTTGGACTCGCCGACTTTTCCGTGCGGGGAGGTTGGGCCTTGCGGTGACTTGATATCTTTTCCATCTTAGTTCTTCCCATAGGGCATTTGGGTGGAATCAGGCTTTTCTTAGCATTTTCTTTTCTAGATTTGGGCACTTTCTCATGTGCAGAGAGCATGGACTCTTCATACCTTCTGTCTTTTGTCTTGGAGTTAATATAGAAAGGATTTCATTTTGTTTATTAAGCTAGATTCTGGAAGGGTGGGCCTTTTGTAAGTATGGGCTGGCATCCCAGGGTCCTGCAAAGACTGACCTTGCCAAGTTTGGCCCTGCAAAGGCTTACCTTGAATTAGTTGACCTGGGAAAGGTTTGCCAAGTGAATCCCGGCTGGACATTTTCAGAAGTCCTTGCTGGTTTGAGCCTGGTTTGACTAACTTGCAAGTCATTCTCAGATTCTTTCCTTCCAGGGATTCCTGGAAACTTAAACTGAGATTGATACCGGGGGCTTTGACGACAGGGGTCAGCAAGATGGAAACGACTCCAGAGCCAGGAGCCCTGGGGTCTCCTATTCAGAAGCACCCCTACTGACCTATTGTCTTCCTTAGCATGTCTTTCTTCTGTGGCTGAGAAGAGCCCAAGCCCTGCATCTCCTTCACCATGGTCCCCACCTGTTTTGGGCTTCCCTGGGTCCTCTCTCATTTCTGCCAGTGTAAGGACTTGGGCTGAGTCCTTGCTCTTACCTGGACTTTGGGTCAAGAGTTCTTCCACACTGGTGTTCTTCACACTGGACTCCACCTGAACACAAAGGACATGGGTGTCTATCATATCCCCAGTGGGTTGAGAGATCTTGGAGGCCCACTGAGCAGAGCCACAGGGCACTGTTTTGGAAATAGGTTGATTTTGATTCTGCTTCACTGCCTTCAACTCAGTGGCCAGCTGTTCTTTACAGTGGATCCACTCTGATCTGTGGCATGAGGTGTGTCTAATCCAATGGGCAGTTCTTGGAGCAGTGGGTTTTCTTGGTTGTTTAGACCCCCAAGGGACTCTTGTGTGGATATGTTCTCTGGGACTGCTGCAGTTTGTTCCATGGACTCCCGTGCCCTTATGGGAATTCCCAGTTGTATCTCTAAGCCTTTTTTTCTCAGGTGAAAATTGAGCTTGATCAAGATATGTGTACTGAATGAGCGGGGTCTGACAGGATGTATGTAGCTTTCTAGAAGCACTGTCTCCATTGTTCCATCCACCTGCACTTCATGCTGGACATCTTCTGTAATGTCTGTACAAGTCTCATCATCCTGAAGGCATGGCCCAGGACTCTTACACTGTTCTTCAGATGGGATCATCTGAGTCGGGGGCTGTGCTGAGATTTCGATAGGCCCAGGCCCAGGTACCCTCTCTGCGTTTACTGACTGGCTGTTGCTTGCCGGGGCCACAGCTCTGGAGAGAGCCACATAGTAGAGAGAAGGCAGCCCTGACAGAAAGGCCAGATACTTGTGCCGTAGAGTCGTCTCCAGTTTCTCAATGGCTCCTTCAGACAGGGGTTGGGTCAGCTTAGGATGTTCAGCAGCAGCACTTGGTAAGGCCTGCTGCTGCAGATCAGGGGCCATGGGCTTCCAGGGCATAACTTGATGATGTAGGTCAGGGTCACTTGCTGCTTGCAGTTCCAGGGGCTGGCTTTCTGGAATGCAGAAGAGGGGAGCCATTGCCAGGTTCCCAGTAATTCTGTGGTCCCAGGAGCTGTATACCTGGGCAGGGATCTTGCCCTGGAGGATCTGTCCACATTTGGAGTCAATGTGGCTCTTCAATATTGCCTTTGCTTGGGCAAAAAAGCACGGCATGGGGATCAACACTGGGGCCACAATTGGTGAGAGCAGGTCCCCGGCCTCACTGGCCTGTAGAGCTGTAGAAGGAGCGACGCTCATACTGGTGAGGGCTGTGCTGCCCCAGGACAGGGTCTGCTGGTCATTGGAGGAGAGGAGCAGCTGGATGGACTGCTGGATCTTCTGGGGCAAGCCCCAGCGATGGTGAATCAACTGCTTCTGGAGGTGGAATTCTAGCAGCCTACGGGCAGGCTCAGGGAAGAAGAGTAGTTTCCTGGTGAGGACTGAGCTGGGCTTCCCTGGCCAGGAAGTC